TTTCTGATGATACATCTATGTATCCGAAATGGGATCCCTATCTTTCGACTCTAAAAAAAGGTTAGCAAAACCCACTCAAACCCATCCATTCGTCGTGCAAATGACGTTAGTGCCAAATCAGGTTTTGCACGTGCAGTCGATCACGTGATCTTCGCATCGAAGTTTTCATCATATGCACGTGTTTGCATTGGCCTCAAGAATTGAAAAAAACACTTTTAAACCACAGTTCTAACGGTACTTGAAATGCCACGATTGTCAAATGTGCAGCGTGAACGTGCCGTTGGCATGTTGCAAGCGGGAAGATCAGTTATTGACGCCGCAAGAGCAAGGGGATGCAGCCGTCGCATTACTGTGTATGACTTTGCGAGGTCGTCTACAACAAACTGGCACCACTTCTGATCGCCCAAAGGTCGGGTCGATCCATGTGTGACGTCCACGAGCAGAAGACCGTCAAATCGTCCTACATCACCTACGTGACAGATTTCTGCCGGCTACACGAACCAGGGATGAGATGTTTAGAGGTCGATTGTCCTCACAGACCATTCGAAATCGGTTCGCGGGCTGCCAATCTCCATTCTCGGCGTCCATATCGTGGGCCAATATTGATGCCGTTTCATCAACGTCAACGCGTCTGCTGTGGGCCCAACGTCACCTCCGATGGACCCAGAGAGACTGGAATCGAAGTCGATCTTTAGCGATGAATCGAGGTTTACCCTCAGAGTCGCGCGGATGGCAGGCATAGAGTCTGGAGACGGCGCCGTGAACGGTATGCCCAATGTTGTGTACAGGAAGTCGACAGATTCGGGGGCGGAAGTTGCATGGTGTGGGGTGCTTTCTGTGGGAACAACCGTTCCCGACTTCTGGTCATCCGTGGAAACCTCACAGCTGCTGCTTACCGCGACCAGGTGCTCACCCCTGAACTCGTTCCTTTCATGGCGGCTCATGGCCCAGGTCTACAGTTCCAGCATGATAATGCTCGGCCGCATACCGCGATGTTGACACGAAATTTCCTTCAAAACGTTGGAATCAACGTCATGAACTGGCCATCGAGGTCCCCTGACCTTAATCCAATAGAGCACGTTTGGGATGCATTTTTATTCTTGTGACTTGACATTCTGTATACCCATGTTTTGGAACGGCGGTGTAACCTAATGGAACTGATTATGGCACTGTCAGTGTATCGAGTACATCACACAGATCTCAGCAATGAAATAATAACAATTTAACCATCTAACCATCTCTTGTTCTTTTATAGTGCCCTGAAGAAAGAATGTGAAGTTTCTTTTTTGACTCAGTATATATCCTAAAGTAAGGCCAGAAATGCTTGGAAAATGCTTTTTGGCTTCAATATCATTATGATGAATTTGACACAAGATAAAAGCACAAATATGAATATATGTACGACTCTACCTAGTTGGATATTAAAGCTCAGATGAAAAAATGCACTTGAAGAGTGACTTCACAGGAGGAAATTTTGGCGTTTTAACAACATTCGTAAATATTCTAATTACAAACTCTAGTTTTGAAATACAGACTATAATTATTGGCCTTGAAAGTGTCCTCGGATCCATGAATCTGTCTGGAAAACTTTTGAGCTTGAATTTTCACAATCTCCCCAGATATTTGTGTTCCGTCATGTCTCGACTGTGTAAACCATGTAAAAAGGGCTTTGTCCAGCGTCGTGTCGTATGCTGTCTTAGCCTTCTTTAAGCCAAGACCTCCGATATCTTCCGTCTCCATCATGAATCCCTTCAACTTCTCCTCATCTTTTAACCAGCCCCTGAGGGTGCCTGACGGGACTCCAGTGCTGCGACTCACGCTGGCCTGTGACTCTCCATTCCTAACTCTCTTGATAAGGGCCAATTTCTCTGTGTAAGCTTAACGTTTGTACTTTGTAGATGCCATGGTGAAATTCACATATGGTACAGAACAACTGCGACCTGAACTTTTATACCGAAAATGATTTCAGCACTCACTTCTATTATGAATATGATTACAGCGTAATGTGATTACAGCTTAATGGAAACTGTTACAAAGTGCTTTGTTTCAGGTTCTCTGTACTGAGAATGTTTTCTTTTTCATATTTGATGTGATTCTAATTTTTTTCCGGTTATTGTCCGGATTCCACTCCGGTTGACACTGAGCAGGCATCCACCATGTTGTAACTCCAACGACAACACGCGGCATGTTTGATGTTCAAATTAGTTTAGACAGTTCAAACAGCTGATCTCATTAATTTACTCAAGCAACAGATAATGCAACAACATATGAGGTAGATGTTTATTTAACAATCAAGGATCAATTGACGATCCCAGTTAGATATGGAGAACACGTGTTGTTATGGACGGATTATACGGTCAGTGCTTTGCTCTTGTTACGCAACATGTATTCACATGAACTTTTTGGGAGCCATGCTTTACCCCGCGGTTTAACCGAATCCGCGGTATCGCAGAAGCGCGTTATCGCGAGGGATGACTGTAAATGATTGTAAAAAGTTGTGTGGTTTTTTTAACATCTATATGTGAAAAAGATAGAACTCTTGTAGAAGTGATATTCAAAATAATTACGTAAATAAGTCTGAATTAAAATCGCATAGATAATCTTGTTCACCCATAAAAGTTTCATTGAACCGGCAACTCCTCCACCAGCAGTGATACTGACACTTGATATTTTGAGATGGTCCCTGACATGTACTGCCCATGCGTTACATAACGCTGTCACCCTGTCTGCCTGCCAGGTGGGTCACAGTATAGTTTGTTTCTTAGAAGTGTTTCGATATTTTACGAGTAATCATTATGATTAGGGAATGGTACATCGTGATTACTCATATGCCATATTAGGTCGAGGTGGTATGAATGATTATATATGAGTTTTGAATCTGAAATATCAACCATTATCAAATAATTGCAAAAAAGCATTTTCCAAGCATTTCTGGCCTTACTATAGCATTGTGTAGTTTTACTTACAGGTTTTGCTCTATAAATGTAAAATATGTATAATCAACACTAAGGTTATACTCTCATGGGCACGGACCCTCATGAACATGGTAAGCTGAAGTTGTATGCGCAAGGAATGAGGTGAAATAGGCATGCCATTTCACCAATGTTACTGTAAACTAGCGGTCCATGGAAGACAAGACAGTAATCAGTTCGTGATTGTTGAGAATAATAGGAAATTGGTGCTATCGCGGTTGGAGCCAAAAACATACCCTCATTAACATGTAAGCGGAAGTTGTATGCTTATGGAATGAGAGGAAATACACATGCCAGTTTGTTGTGATTGACAGCTACAATAAATATGACATTTGGCAAAACAATATATGTATCCATTTTCTGTCAACTACAGTTCACTTCGAGGCGTGAGTAGACGCAATATTATTGTGATTTCTGTGAATAATGAGGATAGATTTCATAGTTATCGGTAACTGCCAGTTGTCTTGTTGTCTGAGTTGGGTATTCATTACTGTTTTCATAAGAATTCGATTATGACAGTTTGCAATCGATTGTTGCATTGGAAAAGGGTAACCAATCAATTTCTTATTATAATTGATCATCAGAACACCAGTAGAAATCAGACAAATGGTAGTCTAGACTTTGGACTAATAAGTGTAAACTGGCACGGCTCCCATGGCCAACAGCTATGATTACAATGCCATTTAGAAAATGGTCCCATGTAACATATGCTATATTTGGGATTACACTTTCTTAGTAAAGTACAGATTCTTGTACTGATTGTCGAGGTCGTGGTGGCTGAAAGGGTTAGACGGCTGACTTTGTGTGAGGTCCACTGGTGCTGGGTTCTGTGTACACACGTCAACCGAGTTCATCCCAAGCATGCTCAATTGGGTTGAGGTCTGGCGAGCATGCTGGCCACTCCATCTGCTCTACACCTTGCTGCAATTCCGCGACAATTCTGGCCCTATGAGGCCTAGCGTTGTTGTCTTACAGTAAAGAGGGTCGACCATAAAAGCCATGCATAGCTTGCTGGAATGGTACTGCTATAGGAGCCAGAATCTTGTCCTGATAACACTGTCCAGTAAGATTACTGTCGACAATGTGCAGTGTGCAGTGGAGGATATCCAGTAGGAGTTATCACTGCCCAAACCATGACCGACCCCCACCAAATCGGTTATGCATGGCCACATTTGCATCTGTGATTCGCTCTCCATTGCGACAATAAATCCTCTGCCGACCATCATAGAAGGACAAATTCTATCTGTTTTCATCTGTGAAGAGCACATCAGATCTTTGACGTTGATTCCAGCAGCCATAATGTCTACTCTATCTCAAACGTGCCTGTGACGTGGTAGTGATGGACGAACTGCAGGTTGCCTACTGTGGAGTCCGGCTGCCCCTAAGCATTGATGAACGGTGCTCCTGGATATCCTTACATTGTTAACATTGAAGTGTTCTTTCTGAAGATCGGCTGCATTAAGGAATCTGTCTCATAACGCAGTGTTAATCATGTGCCTATCATCTCAGAATGTTGTGACTCTGGGGTGATCTGGTCAACATGCATAGTCCACGGACCATTGGCTTAAAATCTCTGCCACAGTCTACTAGTAGCATTCTGACTCACATTAAAGTGGACAGCAACTTGTCACTAAGTTTGACTAGATTCTAAAAGGCCTATAGCCTGACCCCTTTCAGCAAGCGTCTGAACAGTGAACAACAGTGAGAAAGCATCAATGCAAGTGTATTGTCCTCCATTTTCCATGGATAGAGCGACTTGCACGTGCAAATCATTGACATTAAGTAGCAGGTGGATTTCAATATTGACAATTTGAATAAAAAATGTGCCATTTGTAAGAAGAATGTATCGGACGTTTAAAAACGTAATAATGACATTTCAACGGGCTGATGTGGTTTTCCATACTGTTAAGAAAGTTTGTAAAGCATTCAGTTGTATATAAATGAAGATTTTGTAACTTTTAAGAAATAGTGTTACCAATAGCTTGGCCCTTCATTAATGTCACTGAGTATATGATGTGTTTCTTTCAGTCATCGTAAGAAGAGAATGCGACAACTACAGAAGAAAATAAAGTCTGGCAAGTTAGATGTAAAAGAAGATGACCCATTTGAGTTGTTTATTGCTGCAACCAACATCCGTTATTGCTACTACAATGAGACCCACAAGATTCTTGGCAACACATATGGCATGTGTATACTTCAGGTAATATTGTAAGCTTTATTCATGGTTACCCCAAAGTATAATACTTTGTGCTTTCTGTGTTTCCATATGTTGTGCATATGTACGGCTGGCTCGCGCTTCACCAACTTACCAGCACCAAAGAAAAGAATTACGTAAGAGTAGTTCCTGCCGATACAGATTTATTCTTATCTTATACCTCATGATCATGGTGACAAACGCGAAAATGCAAACACACGATACAAATTCGACAATCACCAGTCAGACATGCTCAAGTCCATTTTTTATTTTTTCCGCAACATCACACATGCCATCATTTCAATACTCAGTGTTTTGCGAGCATTCCAACAACAGCTCACAGCATCAAGAATTATGGTGCATTACATTGCAAAATATAGAGTCGTGGCAAGTGTTTCTAGGCGATAAAACACGAAAAATATGCAATTCCTATCAATGAAAAATATGAACAGTAGTAACTGACAGAATAGCAAGTTACCTGTGACACAAAGTGTCTACTGTAACTAAGTGTGTGTGACCAAACCTACGCACTTACAATTTTTGCTGCCTCTGTACAGCCATCTCGTCACGTCTGCCCCTCGGCAAGTGCAACCCCCCTTATTTATCACATTGATGATGCCATCGGACAGGGTCCCGCAGAGTCCGATGCTTCATGGGTAAGGTCAGAGCGAGTTCATCATATAGAGCTTCATATCCGGGTCACACGAGGTCATTTCCCGTATAACTGTCAACATGACAATGGAACTTCAGTCCGATCTCAGCGAGCCCAATTAATTAGACCATACTGTCAGTAAGTCAAAAATATTTCATTACAATATATCGATGTTTATGTTTACATTGTTGTACTGCAGAAAACTGACTTGCCCTCAGTGCTCTCAACTGATCTTAGTTAAATCTGCGGGGCGGTGGGGTAGCCTAGTGGTTAAAGCGTTGGCTCGTCACGCCGAAGACCCGGGTTCGATTCCCCACATGGGCACAATGTGTTAAGCCCATTTCTGGTGTCCCCCGCCGTGATATTGCTGGAATATTGCTAAAAGCGGCGTAAAACTAAACTCAGTCAGTCAGTAGTTAAATCTGCGATAGTCAATTATTGTACTGTCAATTAATGACAGGTTTCTCCCATCTAAGTATATTTGTCATGAATGTATAACTTGTCACAATATGGAAGATACACCCACAGATCTTCAAGACAATCTGCCTTCCGATTACCAACTGGCAGATAGATCTGTTTGCATCCAGGTTAAACAACCAGTTATCCAGATTGGTGTCACCAATCCCAGACCCATTAGCCTGGGATCAGGACACCCTAGCGATCACTTGGGAGGACCTCAACGCTTATGCGTTCCCACCACTGGCGTTTCTTCCATGAGTAATACAGAAGCTTCGATCTACCTAGAAGATAACACTGCTTTTCGAAGTTGGTTGATTGATATGTTAAGCCTTGTCGATCCAGACACAGTGCCTCTACCCAGCTGAGATGATGTGTTGGTCCATCCTCACTCTGATCAACTACACTGGTCCCCGCAGTCGCTCCATCTTTACGTCACATATCCAGAAATCTTTGACAATGACAATACTTTTTTACCCATGAGGGCATTCTTGTGTAAAGTACAGAGCTCAAACATTGATAAAATGATTACACTATTATCATACAATAAATAACACACATATAACGTGCTAACAAGGTGAGACAAACACTAAGAATCATTTAAAAGATGAATACTGGTGGAAACAAAGAATTTCATGGCACGATTGGATTTAAATTGGGGTAAACAATAACCGCGCCCAGAAGGCAGTAATTTATACTCCTAGTGGCTGGGATGATGTGGAGAGATATAATGTTACGGGCTGACTTGAGAACTCTTTCTTCATATAGTTCATTTAGGTTAGCAATTTTACTGGCCAATAAAACTATTCTGGTGAGACGGTTTCTGTTTTAAAGGGACAAGGTTCCATACCAACATTGTACAGAAAAAGCCAGAACGCTCTGTATAAAGCACTAACCGACCAGTCGATCCTCAGTCATCAAGCATGTTTATTGCATACAATTTGGCAAAAGGGCCTGAGGATGACAGCCAATATGACACCAGGACCCCAAGCTTTCAGCAGTGATGACAACCATAGACATACTCATGGACAAGGAGGCTGTCATTGAGTTGGACTCCTCGGATCCTAGGCCAGGGTTTTACTCTCAAGTATTCCTTGTCCCCAAGGAGTATTCATCAGAACTCAGGATGATCATAGGCAACCGGGAATACCTGAGATGACCTTCCAAGTTTTGGACGGAGTCTGTTCAGAATCAAAGTTAGACCATCTCCAACAGTATACTCTGTGATCTCGACAGACCTTCAGGTCGCTTACTCGTACATTCCTATCAATCATTTGCCATCTCAAGGAGACTCTTAAAGTTAAAGGTAGTTCCGTTTGGGATATCTACAGCTGTCTGGCTATACATGGACTCTCAGCAATCCTAGTGTATTTGTACCTGCAACGCTTAAGTATTAACGGATATCTTGACAAATTCCTTTCTCCAAATACAGGTGAAGAGGCCAGTGTTGAAGACTCTCACTATCTTAAGCTTACTTTGAAATTTTGGGATTTTATGTACATCTGGAGAAATCTGAATTTCAGCTCTCAGCATTCATAGGAACATACAGAATACACTCATCATAGAGCACAGCCAACTTACCATTACAATTTGAAAAGCATGGCGCGTCACAGGTTAGGCAGCAACAATCTTATTTTGACCGATATCAAGATTTCATGCTTGCACAACCTGCAGGCCAAACATTATCACTATTAGATGAGATACCATCAGAGATGAAGTATACTGCTATCACCAAAGGTGAGTTTACATTAAGCGTAACCTGAGGTTGATTGTTGTGATCCTGGAAGCATCTCTTCTAAAATTTCAGAAGTGGGTTATATCCTGTCAGGGCTATAACTTGGTCTTGAATTTAGTGGACGAGATATAAACCGTGACGTCATCATGACATCATCTGAAGTACCATTAACCAGAAGTGACGTCATCAGGTCATTACAGTGATGTCATCAGAGGAACTCTTCGGCAGAGTTTGCTCAAACACATCTCGTTCAGTTAGTGTTTATGGAATTTAAAAACATTAATTGAAACGCAGTTACTTCGCAAAGTTAAATTTCCATAAACACTGACTGCATAAGAATAGCCTGTAAGTGGACAACATATTCTCCCAGAATCAAGTGTTGGAAATCAGCCCATTTTGGTCATTGAGGATAGTTAGATGCTAGAAATTCAGAGTTAAATCAGTAAGAATCAGTTGGAAATTGAAAGAGTTAGAATTTAGACATTTCGGGGAGGCACCATTCCACTATCCCCCATCCCCCTAGCCCTCTGTTGTTACAAGCCACTAATGAGTACCTCTAGCCCCTCGCCTGGCTGTTCTGTAAGCTGTACTCACTCCCCTGTAACAATGGGGCTAGGGGGACGAGGGCTAGAGGGGTGGAGTCTTCGGGGTAAATAAGACATTCATTAACACTAAATTTTACATACATTGTATTAAGTTATTTGTTCACTATGTTTGTTTTTCCCATAAAGGTTATCACATTTGGTTCCTCAGTTGGCCAGTTGGGAAAATAAATGTTATCATGTTAACTTGAATTATTAGTTCAGTTTTGCTTCTACAATACCTTCGGAACACATACCATTAACCGGAAATTATGTCATAATCCACCAACACAGTAAATATAGAAGCAAGAGACTTCTTGCATAAACTTAAAAGGCATATAGAAATTTGATTGAATCCAAGATGATGAGGTGACGTGAAAGCAACAAAACAAGGCTTTGACAGCTGAGAAATTGTTGCAAAGAATTAGTAATGTTTGTGTGTGATAAGGCCAAATCAGTTTGTTAATAAGTTTTTGTCACGATTTGTGTAATTGTTTTATTGAGACAGCTAAAGGGGTAAACATTAAATGTTTTAGTTGTGTTGTATTTGACAAGTATAAGGTAACTTTTTTTTTCATTATTTCTTCAACAGGTCTTACTTGAAACAATTATTTAACAGAGTAATTATTATAGAAGCCCATATTCCTCACAAAAGTTATGGCTGAACAAGTGTTTTATGTGTTCATTTTGTGAATTTGTTATTTCTTTTGATTTTATTGATACTGGCATTATTTGTTTTCAGCTCACAACCATATATTGTGATGACTCTTGCAGCAAATATTATCTCTAAACTATATAACACATTAGATGCTTGATTGGCATTTTAGAAGATGATATTTGATGGACATAGAGATTTTTTTCTGGGTTACATCTTCTTTTTATTCTCGAGTACAACGTTTCAGGGCTTGTTCTGGCCCCATCATCAGGTAAACTGAACAGTAACTGTTAACTCTGGCCGTGACGTCACAATGCTATGACGACACAATACATGTGGTGGTCAATAGATACAGATGACATGGCTCATAGAATACATGTTATTATGAATATATGAGATGTCATTTACTGCAAAATTAATGGATCAATTTAGAACTGTGCAGATACTTATGCAAAATTGTTGATTGAATTAGAAATGTACAGAGACGTATTTATAAATGTATAGAATGTAAAGTAATAGCAGTGTATACATAGAAATTATGCTTTATACATGGGAACAGTGACGAGGGTAGGGTATTGTCTTATTGTTTTATGTACCATGCATTTGGGAGGTAGACACCCTGGTCCCTGTTTATTGCTGGTTTTGTGCGTTTGATGAAGATAGCTTCAATCAACTTGCGTTTACGCCAGGCACTGATGTTTTTTGAGAGGACTTCAGTTTCCCAGTCAATTTCATGATCGGGATTATTCATAATGTGTTCAGAAACTGCAGATTTTAGATCTGATTTGTCCACTGAAGTTTTGTGCTCTTTCACACGTGTAGCTACTGGTCTGCCTGTCTCACCAATGTAGATGTCACCACAGTCACATTTCAGTTTATACACACATCAGCCACCAAGTCAGCAGACTCCTAAAGAAAATGGCCAGCATTGACACCACTTTCTCATCTGTCAAAACCCTTAAAACTTTGCTACGTGCAAATGGTAAGGGGTGCAATCACGCTATATCCAACCCTAAAGGCTGTGTGTATAAACTGAAATGTGACTGTGGTGACATCTACATTGGTGAGACAGGCAGACCAGTAGCTACACGTGTGAAAGAGCACAAAACTTCAGTGGACAAATCAGATCTAAAATCTGCAGTTTCTGAACACATTATGAATAATCCCGATCATGAAATTGACTGGGAAACTGAAGTCCTCTCAAAAAACATCAGTGCCTGGCGAAAACGCAAGTTGATTGAAGCTATCTTCATCAAACGCACAAAACCAGCAATAAACAGGGACCAGGGTGTCTACCTCCCAAATGCATGGTACATAAAACAATAAGACAATACCCTACCCTTGTCACTGTTCCCATGTATACTCCTCACAAAAAGTTAAGCAACAAGTATTTTTTTCCACATATTTTCTTCATGGGTATATGAAGTTATTACTTTGCATATAAGCCATGCAGGAGAACCCTTTACGATTGATGAACTTAAAGCATTTCCCATATTGTTTTTCTGATAACATTGTTAGCACCGCCTGAACGCAACCACCCTCAAAACTCACATGCAAAATGCATGGAAAACATGTGCTATACACGTCGCACATGCGTTCTGATTGCGTTAAAACTGCCAGCAACGACAAATTGTTGACAGTAACATTTGAGAAATGGCTAGGCGTCACTTGACACCAATTGAAGTTGCTCAAATTGTTGGAATGGTGCAGGGGGTCAGACCCAGAGTGCTGTTGCCAACCATTTCAATGTTCATCGAAGCGTCATCTCCAGAGCGATCACTTCGTCACCAACAGACCGGATTGATGACTGAGAGACCACGCTCAGGTCGCCCAAGGGTGACAACTCCCAGAGAGGACCGATACTTGGCCACCTTAGCCCGGCGGAACAGGTTCACCACAGCCAGATCTCTCCAGAATGACCTCCAGAGAGTTGCTGGGAACAGAATCTCCACACAGACAGTGAGGAACAGACTCCATGCTGAAGGTCTCAGGTCGAAGACCAGTGCAACGTATCCCACTGCCTGCACACCATCGTCAACAGAGACTGAATTGGGCTAACCAACGACGTAACTGGAGAGTCAATCGCTGGCGTAATGTTCTCTTCACAGATGAGTCAAGATTCTGTCTGGACTTCAATGATGGTAGGGCTCGTGTGTGGAGAAACCGAATCTAACGATACGCCAACTGTAACGATTGCTGAACATGATCAGTATGGAGGTGGGAGTTTGATGATCTGGGCAGGAATCCAAGTTGGACGACGAACTGATCTTGTGGTCATCAGACGAGGTACCATGACAGGTGTGAGGTACCGAGGCGAAATTGTCACACCTGTGATCATTCCGTGGGCTCAGCAAGCAGGTCCTAACTTCATCTTCATGGATGACAATGCCCGTCCACATCGAGCAAGAGTTGTCACTGATGTTCTTCAGACCAACAACATCACCCATATGGACTGGCCTGCAAGGTCTCCTGACCTGAATCCTATTGAACATGCTTGGGACATCCTCGAAGGCGCGTGTGTAACGGCCTCCACGTTAGTCCTCAGACTCTGGATCAGCTTGAACAGGCATTGCGGAGAGAATGGCAGAACATTCCACAACAGACTCTAGACAGACTCATCTGGTCAATGCCTAGACGTCTTGAAGCGTGTATTCAGGTCAATGGTGGCCATACACGTTATTAAACTTTGGATCAGTGCTCAAAACTGACAGTAAAAGTGTTTTCAGACATTTTCATACCCTGATGCAACACATTTTGCACGGCTTTTTCAGTGACACTGTTTTTGATGATTTGCAAGTCAGTTATTGTTCAATGAATTTTGATTTCTTTGTTGGAAAAGTGTGTGGATATGCTTTATCTTTGTTATGTTTGATTCAGTTGTAATGATCATGAGTAAAGGCATATGTACTGACCAAAAATACACTTGTTGCTTAATTTTTTGTGAGGAGTATATAAAGCATAATTTCTATGTATACACTGCTATTACTTTACATTCTATACATTTATAAAATACGTCTCTGTACATTTCTAATTCAATCAACAATTTTGCATAAGTATCTGCACAGTTCTAAATTGATCCATTAATTTTGCAGTAAATGACATCTCATATATTCATAATAACATGTATTCTATGAGCCATGTCATCTGTATCTATTGACCACCACATGTATTGCGTCGTCATAGCATTGTGACGTCATAAGCATTGTGACGTCACGGCCGGAGTTAACAGTTACTGTTCAGTTTACCTGATGATGGGGCCAGAACAAGCCCTGAAACGTTGTACTCGAGAATAAAAAGAAGATGTAACCCAGAAAAAATCTCTATGTTTATATAACACATCATTGAGGCTTATTTGTTCATATTTTGGAAATCTCTCTCCATGGACTGAAATTGCAGTTTGAATGCACACAGATCTTTTAGACTGGTAATAGTGACAAAATGTGGTGTGCAGTCTTGTATTCTGTCTTCTTTTTGTGGAAACATTTAAAACAGCTGATTGTCTTGGACAGGACTTTGAAGCATTCACCCCCAACCTTCTGGCACGAACCATTGAGACTGTGGAAGGGGGAGGACTTGTGATCATTCTCCTACGCTCTGTGTCCTCCCTCAAACAACTCTATACAATGACCATGGTAAGCACATCCTAGGATGATTTGTTGAAATCTGAAATTCATTCAAGAAATTCCTATTTATTTTGTGTTTATTTCACCATGTATCTTAAATTGGCCGCTTTTGTTTTGTCTTTTTAGCTCACCTTTTTTATTATATGCTTCTTGGTATGGTTTTCGTAATTCCTTCAAATGCTCTACGTCTTTACATTGTAACCTCTCGCTTCTCTGGCTACACAAGAGATCATGTCTCTAATATCAACCCACAAGATTCTTCAACCATCTCAAGACATACCCACCACATTCATTAGATAGGATATTTTTCCAGCAGAAGTTGCCACAGACTAAATATTATTTGTCTTATCCTGACTCATACTAATTGCTTATCTCTTCTCATTTCCAAATGGTAGTGGAAACTCCAGTGCTTGTGTTCGCCAAGAATAGAAAAACATCTCACTTGAACGCAGCCCACAGAAAGAATGTGACCAGCCAGTGAACTAGTCACTCTCATTTGCACGCCAACAGGACAGTTGGGGAAAATCTAGTGAATAATCTAAGCCATCCTTCAAAATCGACCGTTTTTAATCAATTGTTTTGCTTAGATCATATTCTTCAAACCTTTTTTCATTTTTGGCTTCATTTTTTTTTCAAGTTTTGGACCTAAAGTTAGACATAGTCTTTTTCATAAATGATGTTTCAGATCCTCACCCCATATGCTCTGCGTGTATTCCACAGACATGTTCCTGTGATACAAGATTTGTGCACTCTTCTTCCCTGGCAGATGACCAACAAATTACAGGTTTGTTGTTGAACACAGTATTCCTGGAATCGCCGTGAATCTAGGTTGTCATGTACTGACACCAACCCTCCTGCTGAAAGAAAAAAAATTGTTATTTCCTCTGATGAAGAACGGGCTGTCTGGGGTAACCTGAGGCATTGAAGAAGTGATGGGAACAGCTTCTGAGATGTCTTTTGTCAGCGAGTCATTGTCAGCCCCATACAATGTCCAGAGTAAAGCGTAAAAGACAAAAAAGAAGATCTCAGGATTATCTTCTTCAAGGTCTTCAGCAGTATCAAAAGACACCTGCGTGAAGGGGCCTATCTCTCAGAAGCCCTCAGAAGATCCCTGTCATCTGCCAAAAGGTTGGACATATTGACTATTACGTAACACAAGTCCAGCTGCCATGCAAGCCCTCGACCTCCATGCAATCCTTGGCGTTCTTGGATCTGTCACAGGTTGATCATCATCATCATCATCATGATCTACACCTCAACATGAAGATATCTCACAGACTTCACATTTGTCTATGACTCTCACAGCACCTACCTTATGCAGGAGGTGAAGGTTTATTAACCTGGATGAGAGCAGTTATGCTCCGGGCATACAGAGAAGCAGGCTTGGCCCCACGATTGGTTTCAAACACACACAATTTAAGAGTGCTGACCTCCGCACTTGGGCTATGGGAACTGGTATGCTCTATCCCTATCATCATTGCAGGATTTGGCCGGAAATTGGACAAAGTGTTTGCCAATCATTATGCCAATGTCATGTATACTCATAGAGTGAGTGAGTTTAGCTTTACCCCACACTCAGCAATATTCCAGCTATGTGCCGGCAGTCTGTAAATAATCAAATCTGGACCAGACAATCAGTGATTAACAGCATGAGCATCAATCTACACAATTGGGAACCGATGACATATATCAGTCAAGTCAGTGAGCCTGACCACCCGATCACGTTAGTTGCCTCTTATGGTAAGCATGGGTTACTGAAGGTCTAACCCGGATCTTCACGGGTGCATGGGTTACCATTTAACGATCATAACCACTGACTGAAAGTCCATGTACATCTATTTTCGTAAGAAATCAGAACATGAGTGTGTAAGATTACATTTTCTAAACATTAATTGTTCGTAAGCAAAATGTTCTAAGGGTGCTTACCAAATCTACAGGATCAACATTTTTCACTCCTCTCAGAGGTTGGAGGTTGTGCCCCAATTTAAGAAGAAAGTAGATGTCCAAATGATGAAGAAACATGTTCCCATGGGGCAAGTAGAATCCCGCAAATAGTAGATCCCACCACCTACTGTGAGATTCAAGCAATTAGTATAAGTCATTATAAGGTACTCTTTTTGATAAATATATCATTTATACTTACCCATCCGTTCCCGCTACCCAGTTTCGGATTCAGATCGATAGGGTGATGACAGAGTGATGAGTTCACTGAGATAAGCAATTAGTATGAATCAGGATAAGTATTTTATAGATGATATTTTTATCCCAAAATGAACATTAATTCTGTTTGATTTGGCTGCCAGTATTGGTTGATATGGTTAATTGAAGAAAAGTCTCATCCCACAAGATAATCAGCCAGCAAAGACACTGAACAGGTGCCTTCCTGACCCTGCCAGTCAAAAGTAATCAGTTAGAAGATGAAATTTGTTTAATGAAGGTGTAATAGGGTAACAAGTGAACTTTGCTCAGACTTTGCATCCGATAGGTTGGGGTGTTAAACTAGACCAGACCGAAAGGGAGACCATCGTTATTGACCTTTGGGTTTGTGGCATGAGTTGTTTGATGATGTTTCACCTGAGATACTGATCAAAACAAGTAGACCAAGTCGGTCTCATTCATACTATTCTAGTTGCAATTGTGCACATATAGGAAGCTCTTATACTGATGTTTGTTTGGACTTCATCCCAGTTTCTAAAACTACAAAGCCAGCAACCAACTACTCTTACATGGTTTTGTCTCAACCTAACACTGGGGAAGATAACAGGATCAGACAATAGACAGCGGATCATTTTTAGGTCTCAACTATCAATCTGTCTGTAAATCTCATAGCTTACCATACTCCTCCAAGGGATAATGTGATCAAAACCAATTCTGATTTCTGGGTATTCCTGGCAAGAAGGTTGTAGTCTTGTGCTTGAAACTCGAAGATCAGACAGATTGCAACAATCTGGGTTTTTTCTCTTCTCTGACATTAAAAGGCATGATTGGGTACACATGGGGATTGAAGGTGACTCAAAGCTGTTCTTTTCCCACACCAAACCATATCAAGTAAGATTTGTCTATGGTTTACAATCTATGGCTACCACTTTTCCCATCTCATCATTTTTCCAGTGGATGTTGTCTGTTACTGTTTTCTGTTACCACAATTGACCTCAAGTTGTATCTTATCCTATGGGTCACAAATTTCATCTGGATGTTGCCTGATAAAGAAACCATTGCACTTTTGGACATTTTTATTCTTGTATTTCTAGTTCCAAAGAGGACTTGCTGTAATAATCAGATTATATGTTCTTTTGGATATGTAGGGGCTGGGTGTGTTTGTTTTCATCTTCTGATGACTATTGTTTCTGTACTGGGTATACCTAAGTAATGTCAGTTTAGATTGTTTGCTGAATGTTTTCCTCAACTATAACTTGGTAATAATATAAAATTTCCAGAACTGTGGGGATAGCTGAGGGCATAGTTTTATGATAATAATGAATAAGTTTGGAACACATTACAACTGGTAGTGAAGTATGACTGAAAGTGTTATGGCTGCTTATGACCTTTGAAGGCAATAGGGTTAAGACAGGAAATGTTAAAGCTGACGTTTTTGGATCGGGAGTGCATAATACTGCCTTCATTTGTCAAACATTCATTCACTTTGAGGCATACTGACTCTGCAGATGGTGATTTCAGACAGTTTGTCCCACTCCTTTCTTGCACTGCCAGGCCAAGTTCCTCCGTCACAATATAGAGTGGGGTTTGGGCAATCATAATGTTGCAACAACTATATAGTAACTGACCATCCGATAAAATGTGCAGAGAGAATTAGGACTAATCTGAATACATGTACATGACACATAACTTCTATTGTGAATACTATTGATGTCTTTGGTAACATAACAATTTATAAATGACAGCACATGTAGCTGTTGAGGATGGTGGTAAGCTGCATGGAGACAATTTCAGTTGTCTGACCTATAACTCCCACTCCAGTAGTCTGATAAAAGTTTGCTGCAATTTGATTCGCTGTTAGTGTTATGGCTTGATCTGATTTCGGATCAATTTATCCTATGCTCTTATTGACTTCATTTAATTAAATTCTTCGGAAACATACAGTTTTAACAAGTTTTAACAGAATCAGAGGTGTATAATGTAGATTTGACTTTCTTGCATTGATACAATCTTTATACAGTAGTTCATATCATGTTGTGGTATGGTAGTTGCTATAGTGATAGTTTTGAAATTGTATACTTATTTCATTTTTTTTTTAGTCCTTTAAGCTCTTTCCTCAGTATTACACAGAAAGTATTTGGAATATCAATGCTTTTTGTTATTTGTTCTATTTTAAATTTACAAATATTTCCAAAGTTACTGACATGTATTTTCCTTTATTTCTAGGATGTTCACTCACGGTTCCGCACTGAGGCTCACCAGGATGTTGTCTCTCGATTCAATGAAAGGTGTGTAGATTGTAGGATTTTATATTTCTCAGAAAGTGGCAAATATTGAGTTCAGTGCATAGTACTTTTTAATGTTTTTGTTTGTAGATTTCTTCTGTCCCTGTCCTCGTGTAAAAGTTGTGTGGTGATTGACGACCAACTCAACATCCTTCCAGTCACATCTAACATCCTCAACATCTCACCAGTGCCCACCAAGGCCATGGTACGTTGCCATTGTTTACTCACTATACAGTGCACCTCTAACTGAACCCATTCTTACGAGGGTCGTTCAAAAAGTAGTCGGCCTAACTATATTCTAGATGTCCAGTGTTTGAAAAGCTTCCATTTTATTTTGAAGGAATCATTCACAAAGCCATACCCAAAATTTCATATATGTGGGTAATGTGGTTAACGAGTTATCACAATACGTTGGGGCAAAATATTTTTTTTAAATATTGCAGAAAATGAAAAACGATCTGTCATTTGGTACCTTTTGGATAATGGAATGTCCTGAGATAATGTCACATAGAATATGTTCAGTATAGTGTGGGATGACTTCTCGTCATAATCAACATTCAAAGATTTGGATTGCCTGATTTATATTTAGACAGGGGCTGCTTTTTAAGGACACCCCCATTTTAACCTTTCAAAATCTTTGAGTCCAGATATTAAACCTGGCACTGTTTACAAATGATTGAGAGCTGACACTTGTGTGACCGTTCAGTATTTAGTTTAAATCCTTGGCATCATGTATGAGTTGATGAAAACATTAGAATAAGTTATGTCCTTATGATTACATCATCTGAAAGGGGGGTGGTAGTGTCTCCAAAACAAAAATAGTGTCTCTTCCAGTAAACATGAAGGGGGGGAGTCGCTTTAACAAGCGATTGTAGTTTTAGATTCCCTTTTTATGCACTTTAATATCTTAGTTTGATTCTAGCAGACTTTTACTTATACACAAAATGTTTCTTGCATGTTTTGTTTCCTGAATTTTGTGATGCATTTATTACAGATTTTGCGTTTTTAGGGGGGTACCAAGATACATAGTCAAACAAAATGGGGATAGTGATGTTGGAACATAGCAAAACCAATTTGTTTGTGGTTGACAGATAATATGAAGAAAAATAAAACATAAAAACAGATGCATTTGAATGACTCTCATAGTCTGTGTTTAGTTACACAGCTGTGTCATTTTTCAGCAGCCCTTCTCTAAAGGAAAGCGACTTAATGTGTGTGCAAGTATTGCTTTTGCCACCACTGTTTGTTTTCTCAATTTTATTTTTGTGAGATACATGTATTGTGAATTCTCTTTGTTAATTTGTCTGACATACTGTTGGATGAAATGGAAGGTCATTGTACCTTATAGTGACCTTCATGTAAGGCCACTAGAGGGCAAATTATATGGTGGAAAAAAGTTCCAAACTAAAAAGTAACTGATTAAGGTTGGAAAATGGGACTAAAAATTGTTTATGGCAAGTGTTTTATTGGATATACAGTGTTTTCATATGCATAGTGTTGTACCTAGTAGATAGCATAGCGTATATTACCGTGGATAAGCCGATCTCATTGATAAGCCGACCCACAAACTTGACCCTTAAAATCAGTATCAAAATAAGTATCCGTAGATAAGCCTATCCCCCAACCTTTGCTCATCTTTTTGTCGTGATCAATCATCGGAAATAGTGTTAACAAATCCTTATTGAATTGTGCAAGTTTATCCTCCAATATTTTAACTTCATTCCGCCTTACTTACAGCAATCACTATCATATTGCGTCTACCCACGCCTCTAAATGAAGTGTAGTTGACAGAAAATGGATACGTATATATTTTGTTTCGCTATAAGTCATATTTGTTATAGCTGGATGGTCACATGTCAACAAACTGTTTGTCCTCAAACTGTGGAAAAATATATTTCTCTTGGTAAAATAATGGTTTCGGATACTATGTTTTCCCGATCACTGCATCAGAATTCATCTTGTTATATTATTGGATATGTTTTAATGAACTCACTAGTAGATCATGGGAAATAGTGTGCACAGCTGATTCCTGTTTCGGCTCTGTATGTGAGACAAATACACACGGTAATCTTAATCCCTGCATATAAGACAATGTCAAGTAAAAAACAAATTTGAACTGAAAAGGTAAATAGTCTTGTGTAGTGATGTTTAATTACAAATTTGACGTTTTACTGACAAAGTCGTCTTCTCTTGTTCGTTCACGCAAAGCAATACAATGTCATTTTCTTACCCAATGAAAAAAAATTGGACAAAAGTGTAACCTGTAGCTAAGCCGACCCCCATCTACTGACTGCTTTTTTCTGTCCTCAAAATTTGGCAAAATATACAGTAATTAAGAGTATGAGTGCAAAGGTCATTGTTGTCTGTGCAGATAAATATTCCATCCAACTCCTTGCTCAAATTACTCTGCAAATTTTTTAGCCTTCAGCAGTGCTCTGACACAGATTCTCTAAATGTGTTTGATGACAGACGATTTTGTGGAAGTGGTGACACTTGCATTGTTTTACTTAGTTGGATGGTGGTGGCCAACAGAGTTCAAAATTTTGTCATTCTCCCTTTCACACAATTGGATGAGTGGGTTCTCCAGTGACGAGATTGTCCTTAAAAGAGGCACAAGACTATTGTCATTTATCCTTTGCATTTTTTTCCTAAGAGTGGCAAATTTTTAAAACTTATCCTATCTCATGGTATGCACTTCTCTTTCTTACTTTGACCATGGAGTGGAAACTTGCTGTAGGTAGAGTTGAACAAAATCTTCTGGCCTCTCTCGCCCGATCACTCCCCATTGCTCCCATTCCAGGACACCTCAGTAGTCCTTGGAAAACATGCAGGGTGCTCAGGCCGGTCACATCTCTTTCTTGTCGCACATGAGTGTGGACGTGTATGAGCTCTATTTGCTACATTATGGGGAAAAAGTAATCATTCCTCTGGAAGAGGAAATATTGTGATAGATGCAAGAAGAACTGGCTACATCTTTAGATGATGCCCTCAACATGGTGCTTATTCACGAGCAGTTCCAAATTGTTTTAGACCAGCTAGCGTATTTCTTTTCCTGTCTGATGGCGTTTAGAAGGAGAGGTCCCCTTAATTTGTCTTCCTGGGAGGATCGGTTTTAGACAGACCTTTTCAGACAGTCTTGGTTTGGTCGGTCTTTGTTCAATGGGGCAATAAGGGATATTGCCACCAAGGTGGGTCAAAACATGCATCTACAGGTTTCCGTGGAACTCTTAAAGTTTCAGCAGATGCAAGTTGAAGATTCCTTGCATCAGCACATTATGTCCGTAATAATTCTTCATCATCTGCTTCTTTTCGTGATCGATCCTCCTACAGAGGTTACTCCAGGAGGCAGCAGCAACCTTCCACCGGCTCCCGAGATCAGGCTCGTTCGGCCGTATCTGCTAAACAGTAACACGATGACTCAAAATGACCTTCCACCCCTTGTCATGCCTGTTGGAGATTCTCCAGTCGGCGGAAGACGTAGCATTTATGTACCCAACTGGACGATTTTGGGATACCTATTTGTCCCACGTTGCATACCTACGTGCTTCAAAATTTCCATAGTGAGCTCTCCACCCTTGACTTTGCAACCGGTTCAAAGAATGTATACAGGCTCAGAGGGATCAGCAGATCCTGCTCCTACACATACAGTTTGCATCCAGGCTGCTTCACCAATTAGGGAGGCTTGTCAATTTATAGAAATCGGAACTGGTCCTGACCAAACATCTCCAGTTCATTTGGGTTGTGTTTGATACTGGGCTCGGCAAGATATTTGTTCCCCTGAGACCGGTTTGTCAAGATTCAATGACTTGTTCCCCTAGCACTGACTCAACCCAGAACGGTTCGTCAGTGGCAAGAGCTTCTTGGTCTACTGATGTTGGCCCAAGCTCTTACTATCAAGGAACAACTGCAACCTTGGCCATTTTAACAGTTCCTCCGACCTTTCATCAGGATTGGCAATCCCCACATGCTGATTCTACTGCCTCTGGCGCGCTCCATCCTAATCTCCATCTCCAAACATCTGCCGAGGTGTCTCTTTGAGGCTGTTCACTCCCATTAATCACCTGTTGGTGGATGCCTCTCTACACAGTTCGCGAGCTCATCTGCCAGATCTTCAAGTGGCAGGGCTATGGTCTTCCGCAGACCAGTCCTGCCTCATCAATGTTCCAGAGTTCAGGGCAGTAATGCTTGCGATAGCACATTGGGCACAACTTCTACATTCGAGCAGTACGATCGGACAATGCCACAGTGGTATGGTACATCAGCAAGATGGGATCCTCGATTTTGAGCCCAGTGGTGGACCTGTTTGCAACCAATTTTTTATGTCCCTGATCCCGGATCCCCTGGTGTGAGAACACAATGTGCTGGCAATATCCTGGGAGGGCCTCAATGCGTATGCGTTTCTACCACTGGCATTACTGCCTTGAGTTCTACTCAAGTTACAATTGACTCAGAAGATCACACTGCTTTTGGTTATTGGCCAGTCAGAAGTTGACTTGTTGACCTACAAGAATTCGCCAATCCAAACCCAGTACCGCTTCTTGATCAAGATGACGTCCTCTTGATCCTCCCTCACTCGGATCAGCTCCATCTGCATGTATGGCAGATCTGCATAAATACTTGATTGCTAAGGGTTACTCGAAGTGAGTGGCTACTGCTATTACTACAGCTCACTGTACCTCTACACGACATGTCTAGGATGACAAATGGAGGAATTTTGAGGCTTATTGCAAGATGAAGGGCATCACTTCCTCTGAGACAGCATCACCTTAAATAGTTACTGAGTATTTGCAGCACCTCCGCACTTCCAGGAAATTGAATGACTGCATGTTGGCTAAGTATCTCGCAGCCATCAATACAGTAATAGCCAGAGCTTCAAGTGTTTTTTAAGTCTATACTGTCCCTGAACTCCAGTATTTATTATGCTTGTATAAACTAGCCGACCAGTCTTAAGAAATTTCGGCCACTGGCCTGAGACCTTTAGGTCGTCTTCAGACACCTCATCTTAGATGAGTACAAGCCTTTGTGAGAGAAATTTTTTAAGTGTGTTACTTAAAGAACTTCTTCCTATTGGCCCTTGTGACCAGCAGCTTGGAACCATATGTAACAACCCTTTGGGTGAACTACTCCTTAGCATCCTGTGAACCTAACAAATTCACCGAACCTTACCGCACCTACGCAGACGTTCCGACTACCTGGCCTATTGGTTCGTCGGAGCCTACTTTACTTGTGCCCGGGATGCCTGCCAAGACACTCCATGAACCTCTACTTCAAGCACATGGTTATAGCTATGCCAGCCACCTTTAAGATGCAGGAATCAGGTCAATCAATGGTAGATTCAACACACATGTTCACTTGGTTTGCCGATCAATTGGAGCTATCTAAAAGCAATATACCAGATGATCTACTTACAGCATTCTACATGTAAGGATCGGGACTTGTCCGCTCTTTTACCTCCTCATCCCTGTTTCACCCAGTTGGCGGGTTACTTAGATACAGTGTTTAAGTATCTTAAGATTGTTCTAGATGGCATCTCTTCACCTAAGTTTATTGTCCCCAGCCACAACGCAGAACGGGGGACTATGTATTCAGCAGCGTCTGTCCTTCCGTCTGTTATACGTACGTCCCGATTCTAATTAATGGGATATCTCATGAACTGTTGAACCTAATGTCTTCAAATTTGGTGACAGTCTACATTGGCTAATTACCCAGACCCCAGTCGATTGGGGTGACCTTGACCTTTTCTTCAAGGTCACCATGACACTTTGAACACTTTTCAAACTCATGTTGAAGTGATATCTCATGCACTGTTGTATCCAATATCTTCAAATTTGGTGACAGCCTACATTGGCTAATTACACAGACGCCAGTCGATTGGGGTGACCTTGACCTTATTTTCAAGGTCACCATGACACTTTGACCACTTTTCAAACTCTTGTTAATGCGATATCTCATGGACTGTTTGTACCCAGTGTCTTCAAATTTGGTCACAGCCTTACATTGGGGGATTACGCAGACAGCAGTTTATTTGGGTGACCTTGACCTTATCTTCAAAGTCATCACAACACTTTGACCACTTTTCAAACTTATTTAAACGCGATGTCTCATAAAACATTGCACCCAATGTTTTCAGTTATGTTGACAGCCTACATTGGGTGATTATGCAGACACCAGTCATTTCAGGCATCTTGTATGTGACCAAAAAATAAAAAGTAGTAAATATAGATATTCCATTCTTTAGTGGCTGGGGACATTGCCATATCAGTGGCAAACACTTGTTATCACTATTGCGACACTTGGCTATCTCTCCACCATAGATGATGACAAAGCTAGGCTCTGCCCGATAGGAACAACACTCCATTCCTCGTCTAGGATAATGAACTTGCATCTAGATACAGCCATTTGACGAGCCTTACCAGCTATCTACACGATGATTATATACTAAGGGCATTTGTAATGTGCTGAATTCTCGTAGTGGCATGCTCAAGCTCTACAATCTGATTATTTTTACTCCGGATAACCCAAGCTACCTTATGAGGCGCTAGAAGATTACGAGTCACATGACTTATCCCAACGGTCACCCCTATCTGTTACATGAACGGTGGCAGTAGCTGTGTCAGAAGCGCAGGTATTTAAGGCTACTCCAGGCATAAGATGTTCCATTTGAACCCGGATCTTCGAGACTCCTGCGTGGCCGGTTCCACACTAGGGCATTCAGTACAGCTGCAGAATGTAGCTTCCTCATATCCCCTGAGGCTTTATTCGTACTATGATGCAGAGGTGATCGCCACTCATGCTTACTGACCTCTACTTATCAGAGCAATTATGTCAGTAAAAGTATGAATTCGAGGGAATTTCGATGTGTTCTGCTCCGGAGTTGCCAGACACATCCTTGACTAAGCTTAGGCAAAGGAGTGAGGGTACAATTCGATGATCGGAAATGAACATTAAAATAGGGAGCTTTCTGAGTCGTTTGCCCTTTCACCCTCTAAGCAATGGGCTTTGCAAGGGTGGTCTTGAAGCAGGGGCTGACAAGATTAAGGTCGATATATCTCAATTTACCGGGGCTTCCTGTAAATCGTGGTGAGGCGGGGTTTACTTGCCAAGCTGCGTCCTTTCGTCCTCGCACGAAAGTTTTGGCGGAAAACCACACTACTTGGGGGCTTCTTCTCCCTGGGAGTACACCAAGGGGTTCTGGAGAATCCATCGCACGCATTGGAGTTATGTAATCATGGGATTCGTAACAGTTCAGAGCATCGTTATAGCCCTAGCAGGTAGAGGAGCGTGCTGCATGCCTCTCAAGAGACACAGAGGCTGTCCTATAAGGGGAGTAGCAGGAGACCGGCTGGTGGAATTAAAGAGAGAGAGTACAAGATGTGAGATAGGATAAATATATAGATATACAATAAAATTTTCAATCATTTTCATATAATGAATAGTTATTGCTGTTTGAATTGTGTTTCACATCCATGAAAAATATTCTTGTTGAAGCTAATACATTGTTATTTATACCTCCTTTATTCGTCTGATTACATTCTAGGAAGATACCATGTCACCTAAAGAACTGGAGCTTCAAGAGTTGAAAAGCTCATTACAGGATACCCAGCCAATTGGATGTATAGCGGAGTGCTGTCAGACACTAGACCAGGTATTGTGTGGAAATGTTACTCTTGGGCTGGTTCTGTGTGAAAATATTAAGCAACCAGCTACTGTGTTGAAATATTACTCTAGATAAGGTATTATGTGGGAATATCACTTTTGGGCAGGTACTGTGTGGAAATGTTATTCTATATACTCTAGGTACTTGGTATTACACTTGGGCAGGTACTGTGTGGAAATGTTACACTATATACTCTAGGTACTGGGTATTACACTTGGGCAGGTACTGTGTGGAAATGTTATTCTATATACTCTAGGTACTTGGTATTACACTTGGGCAGGTACTGTGTGGAAATGTTACACTATATACTCTAGGTACTGCGTAGTACACTTGGGCAGGTACTGTGTGAGGACATTCCTCAAACAGCTATTGTGATGGAATATTACTCCAGATAAGGTACTTTTGGGGATAAACTCTACATAAGTTAGTGTATGGGGATATTACTCTTGGGCAGGTACTTTGTGGAAATATTACTCAACCAGCTACCGTATTCGATGTATTTAGCGCCCTTTCCTCATAAGCGCGCCCAACCACATTTTTAACTGATAAAATAATATTCTTTTTAGAGCCCCATTTTATGATGTTTATTTACGTTGTATATATGGGCTGTAATGAATACACTATGTGGCGAAAACAATATGTATCACGATTATTGGGTAACGAATACGGATAATTATTCATGAGAACAATAATTAATGTTGACATTGTTGTCCAGTATCTGAGTCAAGTGATTGCTTGTGCATAACTGCTACTTCGTGTAATGTGCCCAGTCAAAACGATGTCGTATCGTCAGAGGTGCAAAAAACAAACTTTGAAAAAGGAAATCAATATATGAACAGGAAACTTGCAATTAAACAGCACTAGACATGATAATTCAATTGTTGTTCTTGATATGCTACAGTACCTGTTATTCAACTAAGCCGGATACAGCAATTTTACTCCAATCTGTTGGTGATTCAGTTAAAAATGACCTGAAAAATAACTTCAGAGAATTTCTGTTCCATCATCTGAAGAATTTATATCGTAAACAGTTATTTTTACAGGGATAATATAAATTGCTAACGTATTAGTATAAAGCTTTTTTTTTCGATGTACATATTTAGCATAATAATTAACATAGGCTCAGCTCTATGGGTACATGGCTGGATACCTTTTACGTATGGCACAGTTCGACAAGTCACCGTTCACTTCCCACGGTACATGCCACTTTGATTGCAAAAACAAACTGTTGGGAATTAATTGTGAAATATGACTTCAATGAGACAATAACTCAGGTCTTGGGGTCCATGGATGACTAGGCAGTAATCAGATCATGATGTTAAGAATAATGTGAAAATGGTGCTATCGCGGTAGGAGCGAAAAATGGACCCTCATGAACAGGGTAAGCAGAAGTTGAACGCGTATAGAATGATGTGAAGTAAACATGCTGTTTCACGCACATTTTTTCTGATGTTACTGAAAACAATTTTAATGAATAAAAGTGAGACTAAATTTAATCAAATGAAATAAAATCACTATAACGTGGTGTGTTGCATCACAGCAAACATTGTAAGTACTCGGGCGATGGCATGTCTATATGATAAAGTTATATACGTTAGTACGATGTTCCTCTGTTCATGTAATTTTTCAAGAATACACAAAATCTCTTTAAGTATCTTACAACCCATAATACAATGATATGTACAATGAACAGTTTTCTAATGCACACTGAATTTCGCTAGTTTCAAGGTCATTTGCAGCTGGCAAAAGCAATGTACCATGTACTTATCAGCTGATTTATGTTTTGATTACTTTTCATTGATCATTGTATTTAGGTCAATGACGTTCTTCAATTTCATTGGCCCAGCTAGTTGTGACTCGGAAATATGGCGATTGACAAATTAGCGATTTCCATAGTTTGTTGTGATCACGATAATGGTTTGTGCAGGTGTTTTCATTTCAGGTATGAATTCTTTTAATACATAGCCTTTGAACAGTTTGTATTTCATGAGTACTGTCCAGATTGACACTCTAGCGTTGTTATTGACCATGTTTTGATGTCATTAAAACTTTTGAACGAGCCTTAAGTTTTATCTTTGTAGTGTGTTTTTACGTGTTCAAGTGAATGACAAGTGATTTAAATAAGCGCCCCCTTTTTTCAATTCTTTTAGTGCCTAGGGCGCTTACCACGTCAAAGACGGTACTTCATTGGAATAGTACTCTTGATAAGGTACTGTGTGGGGATATTACTCTAGATAAGGTACTGTGAGGGGATATTACTCTAGATAAGGTACTGTGTGGGGATATTACTCTAGATAAGGTACTGTGGGGGATATTACTCTAGATAAGGTAATGTGTGGGGATATTACTCTAGATAAGGTACTGTGTGGGGATATTAGAACTGTGTGGACATATTACTCTAGATAAGGTACTGTGTGGGTATATTACTCTAGATAAGGTACTGTGTGGGGATATTACTCTAGATAAGGTTCTGTGGGGGATATTACTCTAGATATGGTACTGTGTGGGGATATTACTCTAGATAAGGTACTGTGTGTGGATATTACTCTAGATAAGGTACTGCGTGGGTATATTACTCTAGATAAGGTACTGTGTGGGAATATTACTCTAGATAAGGTACTGTGTGGGGATATTACTCTAGATAAGGTACTGTGTAGGGTATATTACTCTAGATAAGGTACTGTGTGGGTATATTACTCTAGATAAGGTACTGTGTGGGGATATTACTCTAGATAAGGAACTGTGTAGGTATATTACTCAAGATAAGGTTGTGTGGGGATATTACTCTAGATAAAGGTACTAGATAAGGTACTGTGGGGATATTACTCTAGATAAGGTACTGTGTGGGGATATTACTCTAGATAAGGTACTGTGTGGGTATATATTATAAGGTACTAGATAAGGTACTGTGTGGGAATATTACTCTAGATAAGGAACTGTGTGGGGATATTACTCTAGATAAGGTACTGTGTGTGGATATTACTCTAGATAAGGTACTGCGTGGGTATATTACTCTAGATAAGGTACTGTGTGGGAATATTACTCTAGATAAGGTACTGTGAGGGGATATTACTCTAGATAAGGTACTGTGTAGGTATATTACTCTAGATAAGGTACTGTGTGGGTATATTACTCTAGATAAGGTACTGTGTGGGGATATTACTCTAGATAAGGAACTGTGTAGGTATATTACTCTAGATAAGGTACTGTGGGGTATATTACACTAGATAAGGTACTGTGTGGGAATATTACTCTGGATAAGGTACTGTGGGGGATATTACTCTAGATAAGGAACTGTGTGGGATATTACTCTAGATAAGGTACTGTGTGGGTATATTACTCTAGATAAGGTACTGTGTGGGAATTTTACTCTAGATAAGGTTCTGTGGGGGATATTACACAAGATAAGGTACTGCGTGGGGATATTACACTAGATAAGGTACTGTGTGGGTATATTACTCTAGATAAGGTACTGTGTGGGTATATTACTCTAGATAAGGTTCTGTGGGGGATATTACTCTAGATAAGGTACTGTGTGGGTATATTACTCTAGATAAGGTACTGTGTGGGGATATTTCTCTAGATAAGGTACTGTGTTGGGATATTACTCTAGATAAGGTACTGTGTGGGTATATTACTCTAGATAAGGTTCTGTGGGGGATATTACTCTAGATAAGGAACTGTGTAGGTATATTACACTAGATAAGGTACTGTGTGGGTATATTACTCAAGATAAGGAACTGTGTGGGGCTATTACTCTAGATAAGGTACTGTGTGGGTATATTACGCTAGATAAGGTACTGTGTGGGGATATTACTCTAGATAAGGTACTCTGTGGGTATATTACTCTAGATAAGGTACTGTGTGGGGATATTACTCTAGATAAGGTACTGTGTGGGGATATTACTCTAGATAAGGTACTGTGTGGGTATATTACTCTAGATAAGGTACTGTGTGGGTATATTACACTAGATAAGGTACTGTGTGGGGATATTAGTCTAGATAAGGTACTGTGTGGGGATATTACTCTAGATAAGGTACTGTGTGGGGATATTACACTAGATAAGGTACTGTGTGGGGATATTACACAAGATAAGGTACTGTGTGGAGATATTACACTAGATAAGGTACTGTGTGGGGATATTACTCTAGATAAGGTACTGTGTGGGGATATTACTCTATATAAGGTACTGTGTGGGTATATTACACTAGATAAGGTACTGTGTGGAGACATTACTCTAGATAAGGTACTGTGAGGGGATATTACTCTAGATAAGGTACGGTGTGGGGATATTACTCTAGATAAGGTACTGTGTGGGGATATTACACTAGATAAGGTACTGTGTTGGGATATTACACTAGATAAGGTACTGTGTGTGTGGATATTACCCTAGGGCAGGTAATGCATAGGGAGGTGTCAGTGATGTATATTCATTGATTACAAGATTCTCTTTGACTGATAATCTTTAGTTATTTTGTTTCAGGCAAAGGCGGTATTGAAGTTTGTGGATGCCATTTCGGAAAAGACATTGTGTAGTACTGTGGTATTGACAGCTGCTAGGGGACGGGGAAAGTCGGCAGCCCTGGGTTTGGCCATAGCATCAGCTGTGGCATTTGGATATTCAAACATTTTTGTGACTGCTCCAAGTCCAGAAAACTTGAAAACATTGTTTGAGTTTATCTTCAAGGGGATGGATACACTGGACTATCAGGTAGAATTCCTCTTTATATAATGGAGAGAATATAATTGGTAGTTATATTCTGGTACACTTTTAGATTTTCTTGGTTTTACTGATTATATTAAACAGTCCCTGGTTTGTGAAATATGAGCTCTACTGCAGATGGCTAATTGGTTTTCTCAAATAGGTGGTAATATCAGTTATCAATTATCGGTTACACCTACTTGGGCTGTCAGTGCAGATTTGAATAGGTCATTTCAACACAATGCCGTAGTGGCTATTCTCGATACACTCGCGAATATATATTAAAAGGTGAAGGTTCTCCAATCTGTATCCAAAGTGATGAAAAAATAACAGTCAAAGTAGCAAAAGTACTGAAAGTCCCTATGGTGTCTAGTATGGTGCTTTCACTTCCTTCTTTGTAATGTGTCTTGTACAAGAATATTGTGATTATGGCGTAAACGTTCCTCCTGGATTATGGTTGCCTTTTCTCTGTGGGTACCACTGAGACATACAGAAATGGAAATGGAAAATTAAACTAAGTCATAGTTATCCCTAGTGGTATGCCTTTTTAGTAAAAGGTCACATGCAACCAAAAAATGAAACATAATTAAAACACAATTATCACTTATTCATGACATATAATATACATTGCTGATTATGAAAAACCTATAAACAAAATTATAAGAGTATAATCTCAAATCAAAAGTGCAATATTTTGTACTTGGGTTTATTCCCAAGAAACGAAGCAGCCGGGATACCGAACCCAGTCAGAGCAGGAGGGTGTGCACTCAAGTGTAACGGCTGGTTCATTTGCAGATGCCCTCACGGCTCATTGTGTGTGTGTATATATAGAGCTGTTGGGTTTTGTAAATACATTCTCATTTTTGTGTATAACATTTTGCAATCAACAGACATCATAACATGTCATGGGTACAAGTATCACACCTGCCTGTCTGTGTAATTACATAATGTGACAGAGACCGAACTTGGGCCATATTTCAATGCTTTTTGTTTATGGTGTATAGCCTGATAGGTGTTACGTTCAAATTGCATGTGGTCAGTGATCGAAGCTGTGTATTGAATATTGTCATAAGCAGACAGGCAGGCAGACACATAGGTGTCAATAAAACAGACAGTGAGTTTTGTCTGTGACAAAGACATATCTATATCACAGTTAGAAATTCTGTCAACGCTAAATAATGACATTGCTTTTAAGTATCGAACTTAGAAAGTGACTCGGTAAGAAGATTGTGTGGTGAAATAGACAAATGAAATTATATAAACAGTTAAATCGGTAATCTACTGTCATAACATATAAAAAGCTCGCGCCTGTGAAATATCAACAAAACATTAGAAAAATAGCTCACGCCAAAGCCTTCACCGAGTATTCACTGGACAACCCGCCTCCAAGCTGCGTGAACCTATTTCACTGCGCATGTGCTATGAGCGCAGCCCAGCTGTTGAAACCACTTTTCCCCCGATCGCTGGGGGAAAATTAGTGAATCGTTTGAACTCCGATTTCGCGTGTTTTTTTCATCGCATTATTTTTCAACTTTATAAGTTGAATTTGCATTTTTGATGATTTGTTGCGGTTAGTCCATACCGAAAGGTATCAGAATCGGCAAAGTTGTATTTTACGTTGCATGTGACCTTTAAGTGATTTTCTTCCTTGGTTGTGACATCACAGATTGCTCTTTGAAAATCCTTATAATTTTTCTGTATGGGCTGTGTGCAAGATGTTTGACAGATTGGAAGTAAAATGTCATGTTTTGTTCAAGTGTTTCAACAATCATAGTATTGATCGGTCAGTGTTGTCACATTGGTTATCTGAACAAACGCAATCAAAACTTTTGTGTAAAAAATTGTGTGAGTATTGACTTGCAATTGGACTCAGTTTTCCCACAAAATAAAAGATGTCTCAGAGTAAATGCTTCTAAATGTACCAAATCGTGTTCCCGATCTCCAACTATTTCTACCAAATTGGAATCCAAAAGCAAATCTAAGGCTAGATCACGCTCTTCCTTGGGTTATTTGGATCTTGCAGCCATTACATTGTTATTCTCAATTAAGGAAGATCTTAAAGGCATTATGTCATGCCACACTTCTCTAACAAGAAATAATGCATTTCTCTCTTGTAGGCACGCTACCAAATAATTTATTAAAAAAGATATTACGTGTTTAGATTACAGTATTAAATTAAAAAGTTTGAATGTATTAATGCAACATTGGATTAAGTCAACCCTGGTGCCCTCTACCGGTCGAACATTATTTCAAACGAACCCCAAAGAGTTATGTCCCTTAGAACGCACTTTATGAATATCCTAAGCACCACTTGTGATTGAAACCAGTTTGGCAAACGCCGACAACAACGCATGTTACAGTTTTCGATGTACGGAGCAATTTTTTACACTCCATCTATGGCAAGTGTTCACTGTTTGGAAGCTGTTCGCCTCAAAGTTTGAATTATTGATTTCAGGCAAGTCGTAAGGGATAAGTCTTTTTATTGCATCAATAGGAAGCTAAAGTGAGTGCATGTGCCCCAATATACATAATATACGTCAAAATATTATTGAGAATGTGTGACGTGCCTTTAATCCCTCTATGGATAAGTCGCAGAGACTCTAAGCAGAGATAGAGTCACGGAACGACTCTAACTTCATAAGACAACAGTGGCAGCTGGATCAGCCAGCCGTGAGCTGTACAGACTTGTGTGACGCAGGCAAGAGCCAAGGTCTGGAGTCTATACCCGGAGGCTGTGTGTGCTCTACAAGGGAAAGCCTCAGTCAGAAGTTGAACGCTGATACCGCTTGCGGTTGACCCCACTATCATGAAGCCAGCTCAGCAGGCTGATGTTATCTGCACGGACAGGATGGAGCCACAAGAACCCAATGGGATTGAGCCAGTGGTCCGTGGTCAGGCCACATTCACAGGGTCAGCCCAGAGTGTAAAAGCTGTCACCATGGGCACAGACAGTGTGGCTGAAGTTCAGTGGATGGCAACCATGGCCACCTGGTGGTCAGTACAATCAGTTGGCCGGCTATTGTGGATCACTAACACAAGGGCACATAGACATGGATAACCCACCAATCATCCCACTTGCACCATATGGACTCTGACGGTCTTAGTGTTTACTCTTTCTTTCACCCAGAGTTTGTCATGAGAGAGGGATTATTAACTGTGCCTTCCATGGACACTTCTGTGGAAGACTATATGCCAGGATGGACATTCCAAGAGAAGTTGGTCTCTTACCACAGACTAAAACAGTCAGCAATTGGAGCTAGGTCATGGACGACCTTGGATTCTTTCAGTCATAAATGAGGGGTACTCTCTACTGTTCACCATGGAATCACATTCAAACTTTAGGAAGTTGAATCGATGGGTTCCAAGTTTACAACTATCGATTTGAAGACACTTCACTGCATATACCCATCCACCAGTGGACCCAGGGGTAGTTATGTTTCACAGTAAACGGACACTGTTGCCCACCGGGCACCCCTTTTCTGATGGGTAAACAGAGGCAATTTTGAAAAAAACTCACTTGCCAAATGTGAGACCACATGTATCCTACATGTCTGACACCAGAAATTTAGAGGATCCTGAAAATTTCAATACAAGGAAATTTAGCATGTTTAATTATCAACTGAAAATGCAAGAGTCTGGATTTCTTAATGCTAGAGAATCTCATCATCTTTACTTTACAATAGACTGGACAAGTTCACCCTGTGGGGAAGACGTTTAACTGACTCCCAGGTCTCCATTGTGATTGTTGCAGATTTCTTATTACATATTCGTATGGATAATAGATTCAGTCACAGTACCATTGAAGGATATCACCTTTAGATTCATGTCTACAGCATGACGGCCTATCCATAAGCAACCATCCCGTTCTTAAATGACTAATGAGGTCTTTTCTGCTAGTAGATGTTTTAATTCTGAGATTATTCCCTAAGTGGAATTTACCTGTTGTGATGTCAGTTTTCTTAGCAGAACCCATGACAACATTACATAAAAATCCAAGAAAGCTGCCTTTCTACTGGCCATGCCGACTGCTACTTACGCTAGTGCTGGTATTGACACACAACCTGTGATACGATACATCACGATATTAAATTTTTAGTCGCAACAATATATTGTCAAGTATTGTACACTGAAGCTGCGATACGATAAGAATCCTGATATAAGAGTGGCGATACGATATGTATTATGATACTGAAACCTTTAATTTTAACATCAAGTATAAAACACCTTCAGATAAAAATAAAACCAATTTTTAAGTATTTTGTAAAATTCCGCCAACTTTGTTCAATGTTCATTTGGAAACAAGATAGTTAAGTGTATACAAAGACTTTGTGAATGTTAACATATGAGCGTTATGTCTGACACAGTTCTTGACCCAAGATTTTCCGAGAAAATGTTTACTTTTGAAGGGAAAATGAGTAAGCATATTGTTTGTTATCATCAAACAAAAGCAAGTCTTTTTTCTTGACAGATATAATTAACTTGGGAGCGTTAGGTCACTGAAATTATTCTATTCACTCCCTAAGGGTACACACTAGACCATCCAGATTGTCTGTTTTATCTTATCAAACCCTTGAAATTTTACGTGGCCGTAACAGAACTGTGAGTTAGCGAAGGAAAAAATTAGTTAAGACTCTGTCTGATTGAGATCAATAGCAGGCTGTCTTCAAATACTACTAACTAGCTACCAGGAAGCTCAGAACTCTCCTCTTGTGTTGGGATGATGTTCTGCACACAAGATTTGTGCTCAGTCTTCTAATCTGCATGTTTAAGCAGAATGCAAATTGGGTTAACGTAACGGGTTAGCCAAGTTTACTTGTGTGACAGTCTTCCATGGAGTCTACTCCATAGGCCACAAACAATAATTAGCCCTTAATGTTACCTCTTTTGATAGAAAGGAAAAAGGGTTTGGAGCCAAGATCTGATGAGCAGCTTCAGAACATCAGAATATCAGAAATCTGTTTTAACCACTCTGCTATGTAAACACATCCTTGCCCTTATTGTAAAAAAAC